ACAGCAGATCACCGTTCCCTCCCAAAGGCAGTGCAGGCCAGCAGAGCTTAGCAAAGCATATTTATTATATTTATAAACACAAAAATATTTGTTAAAATCTCTTTCAAAAATTCAAAAAATGACTATTATCACTGTCTTCTTGCCTTTTTTTTTTTTTTTTTTTTTTAATTGTTCCAGCTTGCAGCAGGGATCACACACGGCAGCAGGGTGGGTGGGAGCCCAGCCTGCAGCTGAGCTCCTCTGCTGTGATTGCACCTCGGTGTACCGCTCTGGTTGCCAGTGGTCGAGCTGGGCGCACAAGTCTCTCATCACCACCCTGCATCCGCTGCAGCTCCTTTCAAAGAGTCTTCCCTTGGCAACAGAGTAGAGTGTACAATAAAGGCATATGTGTCATACGGAGAATTCATAATTATGTTGTATGTTGCTGCCTTGCTGACCACAAGTTCCTCCAGTCACTTTTGGAAGATCTATATGTTCTCCAGCATAATGCAAAAGTACAATAAGCCCTTGTTAAACGCCCAGGACCTTATGGGACTGTCTGAAAAGAGAATAATCTGGAAGCAGATGATGGTTCAGTTATTTTAGGTTCTGCTGTAAGCGAATGAGAACAAAAAATTGTCAGTAGATTTCAGATAGAGAGTATCAGAGCAGGAAGGAGTGAAGCTCTGGAAAGCTTCTGGAAGTGAAAGTGGGAGTTATTTATAAGGAGCTAGGGAAGCAGTACGTGCAGCAGCCTGTTTACACGCATTTGGCTTCCGGGGTTGACATTCTCGGGAACATAATCCGACTGAGAGATTATCTTATTCAGGATTTGAGACCTGTGTAATTTTTCACTCAGGAGGGTGACTGTGAGTGCCAAGACTGACCCGGAGCGCTAGATCCTGCTATTCTGAGGCAGCCAGAGCTCACCTGCCGATAGGAGTTTTTATACGTAAGTGCAAGATGCAACGCCCTTTCTGAGGTCCTGGAGGAGGTTACAGAGCCCTGGCAAATCCAGCCCTCGTGTCTCTGTGTGGGTACTCCAACAACCTTCTCCAGACCTTTGAAGACTTATGCAGTACATGCTTTAACTGCAGATTATTAGTGTCAGAGAAGTCACAGGATCTTTCCCATGGCTTATCATTAAATCATACAATTTTGCAGAACAATGGCTTAGGCGAGAGTGTTTGAGAGAGCTAGCAAAATTTTAGAGCATTTAATGCACAAAGAAAAACGCTGTAGTCACATATCGCTGAGTGGCAAATCAATATATACCCGTTCTACTGAAATCAAAAGTTCCCCAAAGAAAAACTGAGGGGGCAGAGTTTGACAGGCCAAATACATGTTGCCTCAATTATGTCATTATTAGTTATATCAGTTCAGTTAGTCTTCCTGTAGTAGACAAGAAGCTGGCGTAAAAACATAAAACAGGTAAAAATATCACATTGTATGCTCTGACTAACTCCTCAGAAATGTGACTGTGAGCTTAGGACTGATGTGGACTGATTCTGTGCAGTTGGCAGATCCAGGAGGACACAGATTGAGATTGTAGTGATTGTAGAGCCACAACTGCAATTTTTCATTATAGCTTCACTGCGGCTCATTTAAACTGCACATTCCTAGAAGCAGAGCCCTCTTGCATTTGGTTTGTTCATTTTGGTGTAGTATAAAGAGTGCTCATCTGTAGATCAATATAAACACGATTCTTACTACTGAGCATTGAAATAATCTCTTTGTAGTTATTTCTAAATAAAATAATTCTATTTACACCTTAAAATGAAAGAAATAGTTAAGATAAAATCCTGCCATATGGATCAAGGGTGGCAAAACTTGTGATATCTTACGTATTGCTCTGCGGCAATTGTGAATAAAAGGCTATCATATTATTTAATGAGAATATTATTTAAATTATTTTATATCTACATATTTTTTAATCAACTTCTAAGAATACAGGTAAAATCCTTTACATCATCCAAAAAAGTAATGCTTTTCTTACCTTGTTTTATAAATTAGAGTTACAGAGATTCCTCATATCTACATCATCAAACACATAAAAATAAAAACTCAAGCTATGTTTTCAAGTTACAGAAACCGCTGAACAAAAGAATGATTTTCTGGTATGGTATGGCTCTTTTATGCCATAATCTGTTCCTAATTTAACTCAGCTGTCTCAGGAAAGATCACTGTAATTGAAAAGTGATCATCTGGTAGCAGAAAGCTGGGGAAAAAAGGTGCATTTCTATACTATGGAGATGATTTGGAGAGTGTCTGAAGACATCATATTAGAGATCCTGAGTTAAGTGCATATCCTAGTAAAAATGGACTTTGCATGGATCAAAGGAAAAAAGAACTAAAAGAAAAAGCCCCCATAGTTTAACAGCAGAATAAAGCAGCAGAAGGTAAATACATATACTCTCAAAAGAGGAAGTCATATCCAAATTAGGCAAACAGAATAAAGTATAAACTCTGGCAAGTTCAACATACATCCACAATGAGGGAGGCCAAAGGAGATTCTGAGGAGCAATATGTTAAAGGCATAAAAACTACTAATAAAAAGATCTCTCAAAAACATCAGAAGAAACGATCAAAGCATAAAAGGAGCATCAAGGAAGGTAGATCACAAGAACAAAATGAACTATTTCTATCTGTGTTCACTAGAGAAGTGTCAGGGAGATTTTATTATTTGCAGATGAACTGCCTTAAACTGAATCAGCACTAGAACAAACTGATATATTAAACTCTACCAAATCGCTAAAAGTAGATATTTGTCCACTGAGTTCTAAAGACCTGAGATCAGGATGTTTCTAAAGAAATAATTAAGAAGCATATTTTACTGCTTAAATCAGCCTCCATGACAGAAGCAGAGAAGGTAAGAAATGCAATCCCTCTTCTGGAAGCTACAAGAGACAAAGAAAGTCTGCACCAGGCAAATTGATAGCAACTACAATCAGTGATAAAATTAGCAGTCACTTAGATAATAATTTAGTGAAGAGTTGTTTTAACTCTTACAGAGAAGTCACGCCTTACAAACTTCTTAGAGATTTCTGAAGGAATTGAATTGAGAGAGACAAAGGGATACCATCAGGCAAAGAAAGTTCTCCAAAAATTTTATCCAAATGCTTGAAGAACTGGGTTATGAGGGAAGGTCCTCTCATGGATTAATAATCCATCAAAAATAGGAAATGGATAGTAACACTGGTCAGTTTTCACCACAGAGGGATGCTCCCTAGCATCTCAAAAAGACTTGTGCAATACCTGCACATTTTGTGATAGCATTTGTGATGTGATGCAAACACGCAAACATTTGTTTGTGATGTAAAATTATTGATACTAGTCTATTCTAAAGCCCATAGTACCATCTCTGACAGGAACAATAAAGGGAAAAATAAGATAAATAAACACAAATTAAAACACAAATGCTGTGCATTGGAAGCAGCTTTAGCTGCTTATATGCAGTGATGGCCTGTGACTGACAGTTTGGAGTTACTGGGAGTGGAATAGAGAGCAACAAGAAAAAAAAACCCATATTAAGCTACTTTATAAATCCATAGTGTGTACAACACCTTGAGTCCTGCCTGTGGTTCTTAACCCATCTCAAAAAGAATTGTAAAAGGCACAGAAAGACAAAAGAAGAATGATCAGAGGTAAGAAATGATTTTCCTACCAGGAGGAATAAATAAAGTCAGAGTCATGAGATAGCTAAGCCTTTAAAATCGGAACTGGGGTAGAGAGAATGAATAAGGAATAAACCACTTTTATTTCTCACAATATAAGAACTAAGGGGCACCCAGTGAATTTATCATGTTTGAGGCCAAGAAAAAGAAGTGCAGTGTCTTACTATACTGTGTAATTCCTTACCTGAAGGCCAAAAGTGTAAGTTGGTTCAATAATAACTTTGAAAAATTTATGCCTGCATAAGTATCCTGGTGGTGTGTGCACAGGAAATGTCAGATACAACTGCTGACTTGTAAGGTCTGAGGACTAATCAGGACAAGGCTGGCTCCAAAATTCCTCTGTTTCTGGTTCTTTTTCCTACACACCCACTGCTTGGGAAGAAGAGGAAGCTAGGCTAGGTAAGGCTACAGGCTGGCCTAGCATGGCAGTCTTCAGCTCTTGAGCCTGGTGGTGATTTCAGATCATGTTGGTTAGAGCCAAGTAGATGCAGGTTATTCAGCCAAGCTGAGATGGATACCCAAAACAGTGAAATGCTGAGTGAAGCTCTACGAACTGACACAGAAGCACAGAAAATGACCCTAGGTGATGGCTAGCTGTTCTCAATGATCCAACCAGTAATTCTAGTATGCAATTTGTGACCATTACTACAAGTGGTAGCTCAGTAACATTAACAGAAATATCTAAAAATCACACTTTGTTTTCTTTTTCATCTATGCCAAGCTGAATGAAAGCTATAAAGTCAAATTCTGTTAAATGTTATTCTCAAGATTTACTGTTTGCTGTAAAAACAGCAAGTGCCAGAGACTTCCCTCCACACCCTTTTATTTTTCCATTATAAGAAGAAATGTACAGAAGCATCAATGTATCAGGGACAGCACTGTACTGAACATTTTTGCAGCAAGATTTCTGAAACAGATGTCTGGCCAAAGCAAAATTCTAATCAGCTAAATATGCATGTCACTTAGGGAATAAGCAGTTATCAGCATACAAAAGTTATGGCAGTTAGAAATATTTTATAGGGCATGCCTATTCCTTTAATTGCATCTGTATTTAAATCTGTGTTAGCATTATGCATGTTTTCTTTCTTATCCATGAACTCTTTTTTCCATATCTATTCTCTTCTGAAGTCTATAATCAAATTTTAATTGGATCTTAAAATACAGAGTTGTGCTTTGGTAAATTAAAACACCAAAAGCATAGCAGCTTTTCACAGTCTTCTTCATTTAGCATGTCAGAGAAAACCAAACAAAAATAATCATCCACACTGTCATTTGAAGAAAAGAAAGAAAGAGAAAAGAAAGAAAGAGAAATACTTAAAATGGGCCTTAGCCAGGAGCATTTTATCCTTTACTTATCAGTGGTAAATGAGTCAGATATGAGTTGGCCAGAAAAAGAGCTGCTTTACCCAAAATCAGAGTTTAAAATGAGTTATCTCACTCCAAGCACCAATATATCCTCCAACATAACTGGCAAGAGTTTCCTGCAAAGTGACTCTTGCTGCTGCTCTCTTCATCTGGGGGCCTTACCATCCAAAGATGAAGTTGATGGGATCGCTACCATCAGTTCAGCAAAACAGGGTTAGAAAGGCAGTCCAGAATTATTAGTCTGGCTGACTGTGGTGCAAATTAAGAGAAAGTAAATAGGATCCTGGCATAATGAAGGAAATGGCAGGAGCGTCTCTAGTCTAAGGAAGCCTCCTCAGGCTGCCCTGGCAGCCACCGCACTTTCTGCTCTGATCCTTCCCTGCCAGCCATAAAGCAAACAAATACTCAATGCAAGGGCTTGCAACAGGTCTTCCGAAGGCGGCTCTATGATTTCCTCTTCACGGCCCTCCGCAGGAAGACTCAGGAGCCTTGAGGGCACTTGATGTTGCTACAGCCTTGATATTTTGTCACAGAAAGGGGCCGAAGGAGGAGTACTGCATACTTGGTCTTTAGTTATAATCAATGTAACAAATGTAAAAAAGCAAAGTTGTGACTCATCGCTACATTACTCCAGTTTGTGTTGATACATGACTGTGAAATGAATGGTATGTTTCTATGAAATGAATGAAATTATACTGGCATGAAGCTGGAGTATGCAGTCGTGAATCAGTCCCTGGACTCGTAATTCCACACTGGAGTTTCATTCATGCTCGAAGTGCAGCCAGGTCCTCTCAGGACCCACAGCTCGGAGGACTGGGCCCTAAAAATCAGATCTTGTAGGTGAGCATTTTTGATTCCCAACCACTCTTTTCATTCAACAGGAAGAAAACAAAGAGTAATGCCCCAAAGTCTCAGAAAACCTATCTATCGATTTTGGTTGTCCTCTGGCTCAGTGATGGCAATCTGGTTTCGGGTACTTCTTTGTGGGTTATAAATGTGGAAACAGAATTAGGAACGCATGCGTGTAAAGGCTTTTCGTGCTACTAAAAAACCCCTACAGCACCACAGAAGATATTTCAAACGAAGCCATTTTTCCAGAGAACAATTCATCATGACGGATTCATCCCTCTAAGAGTCCAGAACTGATGAAGTGCAATGAATCTGGCAGCCACATGAATTCCACTTGTGTGCGTTTCAGCACATCCGCTCCCCACCCGCACCACTATTTCTCTCAGCTCTGCTTTGAAATTCTGTTTTCAGAATGGGTGGAAACTGTCACAGGTTATCAATAGATAGGTAATAAATACAATAATTAAGTATAACATTAATCAAAGTCTTATTTTGTCAAGTCATGTAGGATCAGAGGTTGCGCTCAATGGCCGTAGTTTTAGATGAGTGGAGGGCTCATAACAAATACAGTTCCTGGTTATTATGAGCAACAAGTAAAAAAGCAAAAATTAACTGAACCTTTTTCAGACAATTTAAAACTTAGCTTTGACTATATTCATCAAAACTGCTTTGTATTTCAGAATTATGCGCATATGAAAAGGCACCCAACTTTTCTGTCCTCGGCTAACAAAAGTATCTCACAGCTGTCACAAATGTATATGACAAACCTTTCCATTATTTCTTAACTAAGTACTGATTAACAGATTCATAAATTTAAAATATGTCTCCTGTCCATCACTAGATTCTTTCCTAAGCATTTATGGATTTTGTTTGTAACAACATTAGCATAAGAATAGCCATAACATATTATAATGCAATTACAATACAAAAGGTAATTACGCAAATATTGCAGGCTTTACTAGCTAGCTCTGTTCCCTGTGTGTCCTTTTCAGCCACATCTGCTAATTTATTGACAGATCAACTTTCTTACTGTTGTGAGAGACATACGCTTCCAAATGTGCCTATGGTTTTTAACCGGCACTAAACTATTCCCCCTGGATGATCTTCGTTGGCTATCTGTTAATTTCTGATTAAAAGAGACAAGGAAGGAGATGAGAACCAAATCAAACAAGTAACTATCACAATGCACAAGCCATGGATCCTTTTGGCTCCGCTCCCACCTCTTCTTTGTCTACCCACAGCTCCCTCCTTTCTCTCCTGTTGTTTTGCAGTTCAGCTTCACAGCATGCAGGGAACTAATGAGTGTCCTTATAAGGTTTTTTTCTCCTTTTCTCTCCCCTCCCCTGTTTTCTGAGTATGGTGGGAACTGGTTGATTCCACTGCATTTTCAGTCTTCCTCCAATAGAGAAAGCCAGGAAAGTTTGGCCTTAAAATGAGTAAATGGGAAACTCCAAAAACTTTTGCAAAAACTCTCCAAAAACTTTCCGACTCCTAACAGCTCTTTGAGGAAGTGCTGTTTTGTTGATGACATTAATCAGTGGCTATCAGCTTTCTCATATCTCACTGGTAAAAACACAACAGGAGTTACCATATCATTTTATCAAACTGTGAAATTGAAAGCAGTCAAAACCAATTGACAAGCTAGGAATACCAGCATTTTCATCATCGGGTGGCGTACCTTCAGCACAGTACATAGAAAACATTGGCCCTGATTATGTTCAGGATTGCTTTAAGTTTTATACTGGCGTTGTTTCATAGTTTCCAGGGAAGTAACTTTTAATGTTTATCTAATATCATTTAATAATGATTTTGGTCCGTCATTTTTAAATGTATCTGATCACCTGATTAAATGCCTTTGTACAAAGTTAAGACTAAGACAGGTCTGAACACCTCCCAGTAAGAAGAATGTGGTTATTTCACTTATCGGGTCTACTTTTTTCACATTAATATTGCACTTTTTATGTAACAGGGAGCTTTAGAGATGTGGAGAAAATAAGGTTCCTGAGCCGTCATGAATCTTGCTAAGAACTACACATTCTGAAAATACCTGTTAGCACAGAATGCCTCCGTGTCTGGTGGCCAGCTAGAAATAACACAGATTCAGGGACCCAAAACTCCAGGTACCTCAATTACCAGATAATTTTGAAAAAAATCTTAATCTAGTTGACTTATGCATCTCACATCACTGGAGCATAAAGCTGTACTATCTGCCACAGTGCTATATACTTACCTGCTGCCTCCCTGAGGGAAGCACTGCTCAACATCTACCGAAAGAGAGGCCATAGCAGATACAGTTTCTGTCTCCTCCCTCTCTCGTTTCTGGGTCTCAGCCAGAGCACAATCCACTGGCACAGAATATGGCTCCACTGACTTCCAGTACTTGCCTAAGGAAAACACACATAATAATTTACGGGAATTTTAGCTAGCATGGTGGTACAAGCATAGTAATCACTTAGTCCAGCACTGGGTGATTATAAGTTAAAATCGCTGCGCTGTAAGCAGTACAATTGAAATTTCAAAGTGCAGTGAAGAAGTATATTTCTGGACCTAAGAATGCCAAGTTGGAAAGTGTTTTCATTCCAAAGGGCTGTGTCACGCCTTTCCCCAGAAGGTAATAAACTGGAGGAGTAACACGAAGTCTAATGAACTCATATTGTCAGACTATTGGCTTTATCTACACTAGGTGAAGGGAGGTCAGGGCAGGGTTAATACCTAGAAGCTGTGACACTGCAGACAGTAGATGCATATACAACAAACAAGACCGGAAAAATGAACATTATTGTATAAAGTGCTCACACAGCACTGTCTTGAAAAGGAAAAAAGTCAGAAATGCCAGCTTGGACTGAAGTGATGTTGCCAGAACAATCAGATTTGTTAGTCCTGGATGTTCTTTCTCCTCCAACCTCAGGGCGTATGCTAGAACAATAATTTATTTAAAACTTTCATATATGACCTGGCTGTTGCTGGAAAACTGCCAGATATCATAAGGAATTGAGCTTTCTGGTTTGATGTGTAAAAACACAGCAGTGAATTGGAAGAACGAGCATTCTCGACTTTTTGCCTACAGCAGAAGAGACAGTAGGAAGCTTCACCAGTAAAACAAACACTAATGTTCAGGTGAGTCAAAATGAACATATCAAATGGTCCACTACTGCAGCACTATTCAGAATCAGAGGTTGATTAGTGGCAATCAGGTGAACAACTAAGAATTTACATACATATTTCTTATAGTCCAGTAATCCACTGAGCACTCACTAATTGCCAGGTGGATGACACCTGGAAATTAGGAGCATTAGGCAGGCTGGGAGCTCTGGACCAGCACTTATTCAGTGTTTAGCAAGAAGCTTCCAGCAGCTGCTACAGAGGCTGGGTCAGGGTATTTATCTGGGAATTAGAGGGAGGGTTTCAACAGCTGTGAAAGAGAAGGGATCAAGTAGGGGACTTTTCCAAGGGCTAAAAGGATGATTTTGGCAGCTGGGCAGTGGGCTGAGTCGAGGTGCTTATCCAGTGGGTAGCTGGAGGCTTTGGCAGCTGGGAGGCAGGGCCAGTGGTGGTGCTGCTTGTTTGGCAAAAAGGCTGCTGAAAACTTCCCCTTTGGTAACATGGTTCTCGATACAGTTTCAGGCTTTTCAAAAGATGAACTTTTTCCTCCAGTGAGAGAGCAGCTGTCAATAAAGACTGAAAATGTCTTTATTCAAACATATCATTGCAAGATGACAGCCCAAGTCAATCTGCAAGAACAACCAGCAAGCATGTCCAGTGTGTTTCTTTGAACTGTAATAGTGCGCACATTTGAGTAGTTAGCAGAATCTTTAAATAACTGGGACCTTCTGGGGATAAATTGTAAAGTGTATTAAGTATCCTACAAAGTTGAGATTAAGTGTTAGAAGGCTGGCTTCACTCCAAAAGCATGAAAGCCCCAGCTAAAAAGTTATGTACATAACAGTAGGTTCAATGATTGGAGCCTGGCAAATTTTATAAAAACAAGACAAAAATATTCCGTATTATTACTGCGCTTAGAGACCATATTCTCTATTCATTAAAAATATACTAAAAAGCAAACAAAAATTTATATGGGCATTCCACAACGTTCTCACAGATCATATGCGCAAAAGTCAGCCTTTGCAATATACACCCAATTCAAACCCTATAATTTATGGGCTAAATGTTCACAGAGTGGGTGGGGTTTTTGTTGCAGAAACAGATGTGCAAGAAAATCAAATCTGTTGGCATGGGAATAATACCCCCTCTTGCCTATAAAAGAAATGAACCCATGTTCACTGCTGGAGTTTTCAAGGGCTCTTATTCGTAAAATAAAATATTAGTAACCAGCTACCACTGTGTTGCTCTCCTGCAGCAACAATAAAATAGCATCAGTGAGGACTGCTATATCGCATTCGTTCATTCACACACACTCACACACCAGCTGCCCCCTGCATCCTGACTTTCTTGTATCACTAAAACTCAGGGCCAATTCAAGCACAGCAGTGGGCTCTCTGTGTCCATTTAATTGCCCTTCACTCCCAAGTGATCAGTGATTTTTCTTATTTCCCTGAATTGAGAATTATAAGAGAGGCTTCAGCAATAAAGAGGGATACCAGAGTCAGGCCAGGAAGCAGGTGGTAGCACCTATGCTGCAGTGGAAAGGCCTCGGAGAAGGGAAGTACAAGGCAGGGTGTTTGTGACTTACGGGAGGAAATTTTAAAGCAGTCCTTAGTAGGAATAGAATCCAGGCAGGAGTGGGTACCTCATGCAAAGAGGGCTTTCTGATGCTTGTGGAAAAATGATGGTAGATTTTACTTTAAAACCAAAAAGCTGCACCTTACAAACATCTGTTAGAAGCACAACAGCTGTGCAAGCTTCTTTTTATGGAGAGCAGCATTTATATGTTGTTGTGCACAAAGCATGCAGGGTTTGCATGTGTTTTCAACTGGAGGATTTTCAGGCAGTCTTCTGGAATGGGTACGTAAGGCACTGCATGCAGTTACGAAGCAGCTTTGGTAGGAACCCTAGGTATGTTGTGGATTGATAATTAGATCAGTTCAGAACACAAGCATCCCCAACTAACTGCTTACCTCTCTGAAAATGGCATTTCTACTGTGTTATACTGGAATGTGAAATTCTACCAGTCTTTTTGTGTTCATTGAGAAGAACATTGTGGAGCTCAGGCAAAAGAATGAAACACACTGCTGGTTTCATTCATACAAAACATGAAGAGCAATCACTGCTTGCAAGAACAAACAGTGAAACCAAATCAGTCTTCTAGGTTATGCTTTGGCTTTCAGCATGAAAATCTGCCTAAGTCTCCCTCAAAGATTTGTGGGAGCACTGATTATTAACAGGAAATAATAAAAGTGAGTGTTTCTGTTACTGTTACAGGCTTTTGTAATTGCCTTTTACTGATGGGTTTGGACATACTGTACATAGCTTGCTTGAAAAAATCAGTTTGGGGGTGGTGTACAAGCTAGTGAACAGGATTTGTTTAGAAATAGCATGTTACATGGGTGTGGGAACTACTACTTCCAAATGTATTACATTTCCAAAAGAGCTTTAGATCACTGTCACAAGCAAAACATTTATACAAATTCCATTCCTCTTAGAAAAAAGTTGTTTTCTCTCATTGTCTAAGCATTGCATCTTCAATTTTTTGAAGTAAACACAGAGGAGGGATATTTTCTTTTTTTAAAAATATTACCAATATTCATTATCAGAGTTGGATCACAGAAATACAGACCCAATGTCTATGTAATCAGTCATCCCAGCAAAGCAGGCTTTCTCAGTGTTTCACGAGGTGTTACTCTACAGCCTAATACTCCTCAATCTGTCTAACTCCCCATAATGTCTATGACATACTGACCTCTCTTAGTTCCGTCTACTTACTCATCCCGCATAAAAATGCATTAAACTTTCTCAGTGTTCCTTTCCCTCACCCACTCCTTTCTAATTCTTGGCGACTTGTAAGGCCTCTCTTTCCTCCTACTAGTTTCTTAAGCAGAATGATATGTGCATAACATTATAGGAAACAACTGCAAGGAAAGACAGAACGCCATGTATAAATAACTCCAAGCCCTGAGCAGCCTGACTTAGGTGTCAGAAGTACAGCCAGTTTGAGTGCCATGATTGTATTGGTTCTGCTCAGACTTAAGCTTGTTCTGAACAAGCTTAAGCTGCTCTGCAGAGCTCTGGGTTTGGTTTTGTAGACATATCTTGTATCTTTCTTCCTGACTCTATCCCTTCTCTCTGAACTTCTGTCTCTGAACTTCTGTGTATTCTTAGCAAGATGCTGTGCCTTTCTAGATCCATTTTTTCCCCAATTCACATATTTTGGTGTTTTGGATTAATTTTTCTTCAAATACATGTTTTATTCCAACTAAATTGTATATTCTCTCCTCTCGTTCATTATCTCTTCGGTGTGCTGCATATTTGTTTTGTATCTTTATTATCATTTGTGAATCAGTTCTACCTTGCATGGTGGCATAGTATGTGAATTCCTTGCTAATTCCTTCCTTATCATTAACAGATCACTAACAGGATATTTTAAGGAAGAAATCTACTCATGAGGTACTCTAGGACACATTACCCAGCACAAATGACATAGCAGAATTTATCATATTCAGCTGATTTACTTCAGCTTGCATGTATCTGAGTGAGTATCTGGTACAAAGGATGAGTTATACACCTACAATGAATTTTCATTGTCTCTTTATAACTGAAATCAGACTGAGAACAAACCACTGATAATGTACAATGTTCCTTTTAAAACCTTCATGTATTTTATAAAGATGAATCTTTACTATTTGTGATTCACTTAATATGAAGTAAAACATTTGTTATCCATTTGCTATCGTTAAGAAGCAAGCAAACAGTAAGAGTTTGAAAATTCCTACCATCTAGGTAAAATGCCCAAGAGTAGAAGATTAGAAAAATTAAGGGAAGTGTCCTCAGGTGGATTAAGGTAAAGAAAAAATTCCTCACTGCGGTTAGAGTAAATGCCCTAGAAAAGGGTATTGATTAGAAAAGGGTTGGGGCCGGGGCATACAAGTGAAGCAATCAAGTACTTTTTGCATCAGAAATTGAATAAAATTACAATATATCTGTTAATGTTTTTCCTATGGATCAATGTCCATTTTAAGCTTTTAATTTTATCTCAAACTCCTATGCATCTTGATGTGAGTAATTTGCTTGCAGTCACACAAGCAGACTCTAAAGAAATTATTTGTTAGGTCTCTAATTTACCTCTCTATTTCCGTCCCTCAGTGATAAACATCTATTTCACTCAAGCTGCTCTGGAATAGAAAGATTAGGGAATATTCAGGATACAGAAAGCTCTAAATGATTTCAAAGACTTAGTTTTTCAGTGATAAATATTTAGCACAAAACAAAAAGATGTCAAAGAAATAAAAGCAAAAACACATATATACTTGACATAGCATGTGGTTTTACACATAACACACTTGTCCATACTTTTCCCTAAAACAATAGTTTAACGTCTACATCATTAATGATACTAAAAAAAAAAAAAACAAGAAAACAAATTCAGAAACATACTTTGAATTTCAGTGGTCTTTTTTAAAGAAGCTATTGCATTCGTATTGGGGATTTGGTGCACAATATCTTCCGGGAAAGGCTCCAGCTGCAAGAATAGAATAGAATAATATAAATTTTCAATAAGCCACAGGGAAGTAAAGCAATCTGAAACAATCTAATCCTCAGGAAAAGCTTAACCCAAGAACCGGTTAACATTTTGCTGGTATCAGTTCTAAAAGTATGGCCATGATTTTGTTTTCTGTTTTTCAGCCATGTAATTGAATTCCAAGGGGCTTTTCTATTGGCTGCAAGACTAATCTATGGAGTCTCTGAAGCAGGTGCATGTCTGTGTATTATTCATTAAAAAAATGCTAGTTATTTGTGTAATTTTTGTAGGTTCCTCACAAACCAAATTCCACTGCGTCTGTATACGCAGCTGGGCACTCCAAACAAAACCTTGCTGAAGCCACATTGGAACCAAAGTGTGCACTCTATTATCTTTTTTTCCCCTCAGTTTTATTACTTCTAACCATCTTACACATTTTAAGATTTACAGGGGAAAACCATAAAACACAGCTGCTTGTAGTAGCTTTGCATTAATTTCAAATAAAGTAGTAGATAAAAAACTACTTATGCAGATCAGCAGTAAGAGTTCTCTGTGTAAGATTTCTTTTAGAGTCAACTGCACTTTTATTAACCAAATGTATTTCTGTATTCTTTGGGTAGGGCTGCATCACAGCAAAGTAACAGAAGGAAGACTGAATGTGGAGTTACTACACAGAGTTATTTCTACCCTGTGGTTAGTGTAAGTTGCCCTTTCCCACTTTTTTATGAAAGAAGATTAGGTACCTAAATATCTAAAGAAATCTGATCCCTGGACACTTGACATATATGCACATTTTTTAACACCTAGTTTGCCATATAAGTGTCTCCCTCTTTGTTTCAAATCTTCATCTATAATCTGGGAATAACTTTTTTTTTTTTTAATTTTACAGTGGTACTTCAGTAAATGGGGACATATTAGTATTTTTGTTCTGATCATTGGACATGAAATGGTCCTAATTTGGATACTGAAATATAAACATAACATTGTACTGAACATCAGACATGACTGTATACTATCGATTCATGAGGACTATAACCAAGCAAAATAATCTTTATTCTGAAATTCATCCACTTGTGCTTTTTTGTCTACCTTCCACACACGCTAGGGGCAAAAAAAAAGAAAAAGAAAAAGGCATTAATTCTCAGAAGAAAAGAATTTCAAACTGACATATAAGAATTCACAGAAAAAAGTAGCACCTGCAGTTTCCTATGTATGCTCTCCAGAAACATTTGTACATAAATTCAATCCAAGTTCAGATATAAAATAATATGTATTTAACCAATTATAACTATGCAAACAGCTCTTTGAATATTTATGAAACAGGAAATCATTCAAACATATTTACTGAAAATACTAGAACATGTTAGATAAGATTTCGAAAAGATTATAGAAATTGGGGTACAGAGAGTTAAAAAGAAGCTAAATTGCTCCATCTATTCAGTATCGATCACTGGATTAGGCCTGGTCTTGACCTCCTGAGACAGAACGTGTTATATAGGATGGCATGATCCAGTTGGGGGTGTGTAGGTTGAACGTGACCCACAGAACACTTCTAGCCAGTCTGGAAACTTTTTCTCCTAGGGAAAAGGTAAAACGTTTTTGGGGCAGCATTCACTCTAATAGCTGAATAGCTTCTTGTACTGTAATGTTGTAATTGTCCTCTAAGTATGCTTAGAGACCAGCCAGCTTTTCCCCTTCTCCACATAGGATGCTAAAGCTGGGCATGGAGAGATGTTTCCTCCAGAGCCAGGAATAGCAGCTGTGTCAAGGTGAACATAGAAGAGTAATATCAAAACCAGTCTTTCTTCTTTAAAGCCAGTTGGACTATCCTTGATAGGAGGCATCTATACTGCAGACAAAATTCCTTACTGAAGCATGCATTGGCCTACCCTACACTGGGTCAGGTAAAGCCCAACTGAGAAGCTTCTCCTGCGAAATGAAAAATTCAGTTGCCATCACAGAATCACAGAATGGTTGACGTTGGAAGGGACCTTTGGAGACCATCTAGTCTAACCCCCTGCTCAGCCAGTGTCACCTAGACCAGGTTGCTCAAGGCCATGTCCAGACAGCCTTTGAATATCTCCACAGAAGGGAACTCTACAATCTCTCTGGGCAACCTGTTCCAGCGCTCTGTCACCCTCACAGTAAAAAAAGTTTTCTTTATGTTCAGACAGAACTTCTGAGTTTCAGTTTATGTTTGTTGCCTCTCATTCTGTAACTGGGCTCTGCTAAAAAATGTTTGGCTCCATCCTTTCGACACCCTCCCTTCAGATACTTATATACATTGATAAGATCTCCCTCAGTCTTCTCTTCTCCACGCTGAACAGGCCTGGCTCTCTCAGCCTTTCCTCATGTGAGAGATGCTCCCGTCCAGCCCTTCGCTAGACTCACTCCAGTAGTTCCATATCTCTCTTTCACTGGGGAGCCCAGAACTGGATACAGCATTCCAGGTGTGGCCTCACCAGGGCTGAGTAGAGGGGAAGGATCACATCCCTCGACCTGCTGGAGACAATCTGCCTACAAGATACCATTGGCCTTCTTAACCACATGATACTCTCTGGGTTGCTACTGTTGCATTACTATCAGCATTTTTGATAAAAGTACATAAAGTAAGAAGTAACTGCAGTGTCGCTATTCCCCTAGTGGTGCTATTTTAAGCAAGCTCAGGTACAAAAAATCCTAGAATTTCTGGGATCCTACCAACATGACCAGCAGTGAATGCTTGTCAGTAATAAGGACACTGCAAATGCCATTACTCTTTTGGAATCATGGTAACTAAAATTAATACAGTTGTTCATGTAATTATTTCCTTAGAATCCTATATGGGATTGCAGCTGGAAGATTTTCTTGTAGCTGCAAACAATAGCCCCATATTTTGTTTTGTTTTTAAACAGTATAAATAACTCCATTCTGTGCAGTGAGCAAGTGTACCAGAGAAGCGATGGCAGGACCTGATTTGGTCCCAACTTTACTCAGTTACTGGGCAGGTGAGACTGCAAATGAAGATTGTTGCTATATAATATGCATCAGGGATTAGAACTGAGAGAGTAATTACAATAAAAATCAGATCTACAGATACATTTAGAATTTTAAAATCAGCTTAACTTCACAATCTTCATAGGTTACTCTATTTGGTTACTTGCAGATACCTGGGGGAAAACTGCATATTTACAAAAATGCCCACCAACAGCTCAAGCTTCACAGGTTTTAGAACATAGTTTATTCGCTTGGTAATTCATGCCTTGAGTTGTGTAGATAAATAACACTTGTTTTTATCTTTCATGATTTTCTATTTAAAGTAATCTTCAAATTGGCCAGGAAGAGGACAAAATCCTGAAGCCCTGTTGGGTTGTACTTAGTGCAGGAACATAGAAGAGCAAGTAAACAGTAGCTTAAGGTTCTGTTTTGACAGTTTCCTAATTCTTAAGGCTTTGAGGACCAATTCACTCCCCTGAAATAGGACAGAATAGTTCCAGCCTTTAACTGGAGGAATAATTGTACAAGGTATGGAATTTGGAATTGCCAGACTCAGAGGTTTGAGAGCTGTGTCTTGCTTTTCTCTTTCAATACCTTGCCAGTTCTCTGCAGACCTCTTGTACTAAATAGCAAGCTGGGGTCAAGTGATGTAGAGACAGCTAGAGCAGATTTCCTGTTAAAAGGAGAATATTTTGTTGCCTCTTCTTCAGAGGTGAATTACAGGAGTCAAAAGTTGCCTTCATTTTTCCTAATATATCAGTGACTCATCTTTATTCAGCAGTGCAGAAATGAATTGTTTAACACAGAGGCTAAATTTGAATATCTCAGTGCATCAGCTGAATATTTAGAAATGGTAGAAGTGTTTTCAGAAATCAGGATAGTCAATGAATCATTAAAGTAAAGAATAAAAAGGGTCAAATACCTAAAAAATATTATTTCAGAGCTGGATAGATCTACTAACAGATTTGTAGATCAATGTGTATAGTAATCACGTTTGATTATTTCCTAAACTCCTTTCTCACAACACTGCCACACAACTTTCCTAACTCAGACTCTGCTTCAGATTTTTTCTGCCACCTCATCTCGGGTGGTAGCCAGGCAGGACCTTGGACCCTGTTCCATGTCAGGGAAACCTTATCAGGCTCCAGAAATAATTTCATTGTATTGTATACCTTGTTCAACCCAGATGCTTTACTGTTGCAAATACACTGTAAAAATAAAACTAATGGCTTATTGCAGCTATTTCTATACATTTTAGAATAAATGTCTGCATCAGAGATAATTATTTCTACTGGCAGTTATACACTGTTTGGATACAACTGTATAGACATAGGGGTGTCCCTGGAACATATAAGCCATTAAACCTGACAGTGAACCAAAGAAGTTACTTTACACCTGCCATATATGGCATCATCACCTTCTCTCCTACACCTATTGGCATTCAGATCATGAAGACTATTAAACATGGAGGATAACAGAAACGAAGCTGAAAAGAACCCTGAAAATATATTGTCAGGAGAAAAACCTTTCAGAGAAGAATAGCTCAAGTCAGTGCAGAAATAACCAAGCCACTGGAGAGGTAGTTTGGACCAGATACAGAGTGCCACATTTTCAAAGCTTTTATACTGCTGAATTGGACTTTTGTGCCTAAAGTAGCAGATGAAAGTAGAAATTGTGTCCACTAATCATTTTCAAAATCGGAAAAGGAATATAAACGGGCACCAGTCACCTGGGCTGCCAGAGCCATACCAATAAATGTTTGAAGTAGGAATTAAGGATGGAATTTTCAAATACCCAGAAGGTTAACTGAAATGATCCATGGCAATGCAGAGAGGATCTGAAACTATAGCAGTCTGTACCATGCTGGAAAATCAACTCTAGCATATCTGCATTGTCCTTGGCTCTGCCATGTTTTAAAGCACAGAGATTAGCTTCAGTGAAGCCTGCTGAAGGATACAGTTAGAGATGACTGACAAGTGAGGCAATTGCCAACACAAAGGAGGCATGGAGAATTCTGACAGAAA